GCCCAGAAAAATAGGTCGTTGGCAGCTCCGGCCTCCTGACAGGCCCCACACAAAGGCGGCTGGCGGGCCTGCCTGCTGACGCCAGCCCAGGGTGATGGGAAACGAGGGGCAGAGCCTGCAGGCCTGGCGCCCGGCAAAGCTGGGTCTCTGCAGGCTCCTGCGTGCCCTGGCAGAGTGACCCTGGTCCAGTCGCTTTCTGTCCCTGGCCTTGCTTCCTCACCTCTGAGGACACGGTGGAATTTCTGAGGCTTTGACAAGACGATCCCTGTAAACAGGCCTGGCACACACAGGGGCATCATCACCCTACCAGCAGGGACAAACTCCACAAAGGCTCACCACAGCAGCTTTCATGTTTGTGCCACCACCAAACCCTTGACCAGGGTGGACCTTGTTATTCCTGTTTCACAGATGAACAGACTGAGGCTCAAAAAAAAATTTTTTTCCCCAAGTTGCATGAATCAAATAGGCAGAGTCTTGACTTCAAGTCCCTGACCCTCCCCTCCTCATACTCTTTCACATCTTCTTTCCACCAACGCTGGACAACAGGAGAGGCACATGGTCTGACCTCTGGCTGCTGAGTGGAGAACGCACAGGGTGGGAGATGGTGGAGGACTGGACCTGAGCGGTAGAAGGAAGGGGCTGAGGAGTGCTTTGGCTCTGGATGTGGAGGGATGGTCCAGCAGGGGATGTGCTGACGTGTTACACCAGGGAGTTACAAAGTCAAGGACCAAAGCCTGATGGAGCTACCCCTGGCTCCATCTCACATCTTTCAGGTCTTTGCCCAAATATCACCTGTTCTGAGGCCTCCCCTGATGCCCTCCCCTCTCATCATCAGTCCTGGTCCCCTCAGTTCAGTTCAGTCACTCAGTCGTGTCCAACTCTTTCCGACCCCATGAACCACAGCACCCCAGGCCTCCCTGTCCATCACCAACTTCACCCAAACTGATGCCCATAGTGTCGATGATGCCATCCAACCATCTCATCCTCTGTCATCCCCTTCTCCTCCTGCCCTCAATCTTTCCCAGCATCAGGGTCTTTTCCAATGAGTCAGCTCTTCGCATCAGGTGGCCAAAGTATTGGAGTTTCAGCTTCAACATTAGTCCTTCCAATGAACACCCAGGACTGATCTCCTTTAGGACGGACTGGTTGGATCTCCTTGCAGTCCAAGGGACTCTCAAAAGTCTTCTCCAACACCACAGTTCAAAAGCATCAATTCTTCGGTGCTCAGCTTTCTTTAATAGTCCAACTCTCACATCCATACATGACCACTGGAAAAACCATAGCCTTGACTAGACTATTATTTTTGTTGGCAAAGTAATGTCTCTGCTTCTTAATATGCTGTCTAGGTTGGTCATAACTTTCCTTCCAAGAAGTAAGTGTCTTTTAATTTCATGGCTGCAATCACCATCTGCAGTGATTTTGGAGCCCAGAAAAATAAATCCTGGGCCCCTACCTGCTTCATTTACCCCTGTAGCCTGTCCTCCTCTGACAGGCTAGCTATTTTACAGACTGACTTGCTTGTCCCCACAAGACTGTTAGTTCCTTGGGGTGAGGTTCTTGTCTGTTTTTCTCAATTGCTGCATCCCCAGTGCCCAGCCTCCCATGGAGGGGGTTGATTCACCTCAATTATCTGCCATAATCTGCGTGACCTCAGACAAATTGTCCCTCTACCTCAGTATATATCCAGATGCCCATTGGTCTCAATGATCTCCCAGACCTGGCAGTCAGCCAAGGGTGATTTTTATGTAGATGCTGATTCAGGAGAACAAGGCCCAGACCCCCTCCTGGTGAAGAAGGAAGGCTGTTGGGAAGCCCTGCTGGGTGCCCTGGCCGAAGGTACTACATAAATAGCAGCTGGTTCCATTATTATCCTTCCCTAATCCACAGGTTCCTAATCCCAGGCAGGTCTGTGTGTGTGTGTGCAGTGAACAGCAGAGCCTTCTGGAAGCCCAGGCCGGGAGGCTGCCTCATCTCTGACCTTCAGCAGCAGCCCTGCCCCACTCCCACCCAGATAGATTCAGGTGATGGTTTTACCCAGGAGCCCCACTGGTCACCTTCATGGTTTCAGTCAGATGTGGCCTTGAACAGTTGGAGACTCCCTACCCTCACCTCAGATACTAGGAGGACCCCGGAACATCTCCTTGATTCCACACTCTCCTCCCTCCAGCCCACTCTCCACTTGTAGCCACAGTGGCCTTTTAAACACATAAATCAGACCATGGCACTCCCCTGCTTAACAGCGCCAATTATTTCTTCCGTGCAGAATAAATGCAGGTACTTGACCAAGGCCTGCGAGGTCACCCATTTAGACCAGTCTCCCCCATCCTTTGCTCACTCCGCTCCAGCCAAGCTAGCCCCCGGGCCTTTATATGTGCTGGTCCCTCTTCCTGGAACAGCAAATCCCCAAATCCTCACCTTGGTGCCCTTTTTTGTGTGTGTATGATTCAGCTCCCAGTCTCAGGACTTACCCTTATCCAAATCAGCGCACCCTTCTCACTGTGTAAGCTCTACCTTCTGTTGTTCATTAATTATTTCTGCTTGTCTACTTATCTGTCTCCCCACTAGAATGTAAATTCGTCGTGGACAGGGACATGGCGTGGGTCTCTGCTGTATTTTCTGCACCCAAAGAAAATCCCCTTACACTTCACATACTGTCCAGAACCCTGTAGGTTCCTGAGGACTGCTGTCAAATGCTTGACTTATTTGTCAAATGCCATGTGGCAGTTTTTAAATGTTGTACAAATACCAACTCATCTAATCCTCACTCCAGCCTTTTTAGGTTGATACTCCTGTTGGCTCAGGAAATGGAGCCACAAAAATAAGGTATTTTCTCAAGTCTACACAGCTCACAAGAGGTGGCTGGCAGGATTTGAACAGAGGCAGCACCCTGCCTGCCTCTTGTCTTAGCACCATATCAAGACCAGGCATTTAACAGGGAGGCTGGGGTAGGGCCAGGGAGGGATGAGGGTGTCGTTGTACAAAGATCTTTAACCTGGGAATCAGAAATTCAAACCTTGTTTCTACCCTAGGTCTTGCTGTGTGACCTTGGGCAAGTCCACACCCTCTCTGGGCTTCAATTTCTCCTCAGTTTATAGGACTGACCCCTCTCTCACCTTGCTTCATATCATCCTAAGGGCTTTTTGAAGCCAAATTGGTTATTGTTTATTTACAATTAGAGGGTCTTTGACTCCACTCCCTCCCCCATTCTGGAGTCTTCTTTGGTCTGGTGACCAGAGCATTCTCACCCCCATCCCTGACCTGGGTGCTATTGGGAATACAGCTTTCCCTCAAAGAAGGGGACAGAAAGAGGAATTGAGAGAGGGAAACCGGCTGCTTTTTTCTCACCAGCAGGCTCTGTCCTGCCTCCAGGCTTCTGGCTCCTGCTCTCCTCCCATCCCCTCATCTTCCTCACCTCCTGCCATTTTCCTGAAGCACAGGTCTTCCTAGTTCCCCTGGCCCCGCACCTCTTCCTGGCCCCTCCCCATCCCTGAAGCAGCCATCCTTGACATAGAGGCACCTCCTTGACAGACGGGCACCTGGCGGGGAAAGCCCACCTCCCTAGAGAGGCCCGGACTCTTTTCCCCGGTTTCCTGGCCGCAGCCCCCCTTCAGCTCCCTCTCCTCCCCGCGCCGCTTTTCCAGGCGGTACTGAAGTCCTTCCTACACACACGCTATTTTTGTACCATCACTCTCTCCTTCCTGCCCCCTTCCCCCTACCTTCACTTACTTCCTGCTTTTTCCTTCACCTCGGCCCAGATCTGAGAGGATAGGGACCCTTCTGGCCCTCACCCACCCCGAGAGGGGCCTTGGCTCTGGGGTCCGGGGACAGGGCCTCAGAGGAGGGGCGAAAGGCAGACTTCCCCCTCCTCCACTCCCCGCGCTCCTGAGCCGCCTCCAGCCTCCCGGGGAGGGAAGCCGGGACTGGCCGTGGCCAGAGTCCGGAGGTGAGGGGAGGCCGGCCGCAACTTCCCCAGTCCACCTTAAGAGGACGATGTAGCCGGCCTGCGGTGCTGACCTTAGAAAAACAAGTTTGCGCAAAGTGGAGCGAGGGACCCGGCCTCGGGGCAGCCCAGGCGACGCTTCCACCGTCTCGCAGCTCTCGTCCGCCGGGCGGCGCAGGTCCGAGCCCGGCTGGCCGAGGGAGGGGGCGAGGGGGAGGCGGTTCGGGGCCGGGGCCACAGCGCGGGTGTCTGAACTGGCACATTGTCGAAGCCCGGGCTCGTCCAGTCCCGAGCCGAGCGGGGCGCCGGCGGCCGGGACCACAACCCGGGCCCGGGCGGGGGTGAGGGGGTGCCCGGGCCTTGCGCACCGCCCTCTCTCTCTCGCTCCCTCCCTCCCCGGGGCGCGCAGCCGGCGGGCGCTCGGCGGAGGTGCCCGCGGGGCCCGAGCCCCGCAGCCTCCAGCGAGGCCGGCGGGAGGAGGGGAAGGGAAGGAGGGCGGGGGGGCGCCCCCTGCCCGGACTGCGGGCCGGAGGAAGCGAGCCGCGGCGCCGCGAGGAGCCCGGGTGGGGCAGGTGGGCAGCGGCGGGGGCGGCCGGGCCCGCTGCCCCTCGCCCTGCCCTCGCGGTCCTCCCTCTCCCGCGCTGTCTGTCTCGATCTGCGCGCCGCCTCGCTCACTCCGCGCGCGCTCTCTCTCTCTCTTTCTCCTCAGCTCTCGCCTCTCTGTGTCTCTGGCTCTCTGCCTGGCTCCCTTGGGTCTGTTTCCCTCTCCTGCCGGCTCTCTCGGGCCGTCCCTGGCTTCGTTTCGCGCGCGCTTGGGGTCTCTCCCCTTCTCCGTCTCTTGATCTCTCCGGGGTGGCGGGGCTCGGGGGAGGGGGGTTCCTCCGAAAACCGCGGCACTGACGGCGCCTCCTAAGCCGCTCCAGGCGCCTGTTCCAGGGAGGGGGGAAGCCCGGCCGGGAGGAGAGGTGGGGGGAGAGGGGGGAGCCTTAGTCATTTCCCCGCTCCAGCCCGCGCCCGCCCGAGCGCGCACTCACGGCCGCTCTCCCTCCTCGCTCCGCAGCCGCGGCCCATGGAGCCAACCCGCCCGGCCCCCGGCCGCCTCAGGCCGCTGCTCTGCCTGCTGCTTGCCGCGTCCAGCGCCTGGACAGGTAAGCACCCGCACCGCCCACCGCTGCCGTCCCCAAATTGCCGGCCCAGGCCTCTCAGCCGGCCACTCGGAGCCACTCGGCTAATGTCGAGCAGTAATAGGGGGAGAGGTGCCTGTAACCAGGATTACAGATGAGGAAACTGAGGCCCAGAGAGGGACAGCGACTTGCCCAAGGTCACACAGCCAAGGATGGAACCCAGTCTCTTTGGACTCTGACTGTGCGCCACTAGGCTGGGCATCAGAACAGACCCAGAAGAGCTGGTTCACTGGTCCCTGCCCAATCCGATGGGGGAGGCGGGCTGTCAGTGGCTTTCAGAGCAAGGCGCCCTGGCTCCTCTGGAATCTCTCTCCCAGGTCTTATGTTTTCCACATGTTTGACTTCAGGGTCTCAGAGAAGGGGAAAGGGCAGAGGTCCTTCCTGTACTGGCCAGGATGGAACAGAAACAGGCTATGACAATTGGGGAAGAGTGAGCTCTCCTTCTGCTGCGCAGAGTAAAACAGTGTTTGTGGGGGAGAGAGAGGAAAGGAGGCCAGGGTAACTCCGGGGTGAGCGGCTGCGATCTGCAGATGCCGATGTGAAAACACAGCGGATTGTCCCTGAGGTTGCCAAAGCCTCTGGGTGGATGGTCGTGCTCCCAGCTGCTCTGTGGCCCTCCTCCTTCCTCCTGCCTTCCCCAGGTTTCCAGGCAGCTCGCTGCAGCTCAGGTGCTCAGTGGGGCTGTTACCTGTGGCTCTGAGCATGTCTTTTTGTTGGCCTACATCAAACACCTGGCTGTCTCCAGCAGGCGGGCTCTGAAGGCTACCGTGTGTTCGCCAAAGGGTGAGGTCACCATTCAGGAGCCCTGCTTCTTAAAGGGGTTTTGCAGCACCCTGAGTCTCCTGGGAGGGTGTGGAGGGCAGAGAAACTGTGTTAAAGGAGTTGTTGGGGGGAGAATGGGATTTTGGTTTTGGCTGCTTGAAGCAGTGTTGTCAGCAGAGGGGGTCTCTGCACCTCCCTCTCTTGAGGGAAGGAGGTAAAGATGAGCTCAGTACCCACCTCCCCCCTCCTTCTGCATTTGCCTAGAGACTGGTAACCATCTGATAGCAGTGAGAAAGGGAGAACTAGCAAAGAGTGGGTGGAGGGAGAAGAGGGGGTGGACAGCAGCTTCTTTCTGCCCCACTGTTTCCACTGAGCCCCCAAAACCCACGCAGGCACCCCACACACACATCCACACCCCCACTCCCCAGTATTTCAATTATAGTTGGGCCCTTGCTGGGCAAGAGGAAGCCCTAATAGATTTCATGTCTCTATGATGAGTCAGTGGTGTCTCCTATCTACTCCTTCCCGCCTGAGCTGACCATTTACACCGAGTAAAAGTCTGAGGCTCTGCCCTGCCCTCCTTCCTGGCCTGGGATGCATGAGATTCTCTCACAAGTGCTTAATTTCCCTGAAACAGGGAATTGGGCCCAAGTTAATTTCTAAATGTCTGTTTGAGACCCTTCTCTAACCAGGACCCTGTGGTTCCGTCCCCAGGAAATTCAGGGTAATGCTTATTAACAAGTGGGCAGCTGCTGTTCCCAGGCCTGCCTGGGAGCACCACCACCCTTCTCATGAGGAAATTCTCCCCCTGTTGCTATAAAAACAATCTATAAAATGGTAAAGATTAGGCTGTAAAACTTCCGTTCCAATCCATTCAGCATCAATAGCCTGAAAAAGTGGGAGCAGCAGAGGGGCCAAGATTAACTTTGAAATAAATAAATCTTAGGAGGGAAGAATAAATTTCTTGGTTGAGGGTGGTGGGGAAGGGGTGTCACCCCCAGAGTTCAAGTTTCTCAGCATCCTTCACTCGGTTCTAAAGGGTCCTGGTCACCCTCGGCCCTGGCATGGAATTCACCTGGTTTGGCTAAAGGATGAGGCTTCAGACCCTTCCCTCAGGTCTCCAGGCATGGACTTTATGACAAAGTGAAGAGAGGCAGGGCAGAATAGCAGGAAGGTAGAAGGAGGCAGTTGTCCAATTTTCTAAGAAAATGGATTTGTTTGAGTGAGGAACTCAAATGTCAGGCTTGGGAAGGCGCCTTTGGATTGAATGACTACTAGTGTCTCGGGCAGAACTATCGGCCTAGGAGGTGTCACATGACTGCTATGGTTTCACATGATCACTGTTTGTAGGGGGCTACTCATGTGAATTATCTTGGATAGGGGAGGCAGGGAAGAAGTTTCTAAAGATTGCTTTCAGCACAAATGTTGCCAAAGAGAAGTTCTGAAAAAGAGGCCAGTGAAGTCACCAACTTGTGTTCTCGGAGCCAGTGTTTCCTCAAACGACTTCAGCAAGGGAGGTTCTGAGGTGGCAAGGAGGGCAAGGGGCCTGGGCTGGGGGCACCTGGGAAGCTGGATTCTGCAGTCGCAGCAGCGGTGCCTGACACATCGAGGCTGCAGGCTCCTCACTTGGCCCCTCCGGGTCTGAGGACCTCTGGGACCCCTGCTGGACAGACTTTAGATAAACTCCCATTCACTCCTTGCTCTGATTTGGAGAAGGCCAGGCCAAAGTGGGTGTCAGGCTTTGGGGAATAGCTGAGCGCTCTGGGGAACCTCTCACTCTTCGGAAGAGGGTAGCATGCTGGTGATTCCTCTGTACTTTCCTAAGTGGTGAAGTTCAACTCACTTCCTCTTTCACAAGAAGAAGAAATGGGGCGGGGTGCCTTGGCCCCAAAGAGTCTGTGGAAGGTCCTTTGAGGTCTTGGTGTTCTCTGGGTACTTTCTTGCCATTAATTACTCCTTTACCAACCCCGTGGAAACTCGTGGTGTGATTCATTCCTTTACTTGCCATCACTTAGCAAGTATGAAGTCCTAATGGAATCCATGTGTTGAGAGAAGGGAGGAGAACCAACATTCCTTGAATGTTGCCTGTATTCCTGGCTGAATCCTAAGTAGTGCCTTATCTATGTAATCCTATTAGTTAGCAAAGCAAAGTGTGAGTTAACTATTATCCCCATTTTGCAGATGAGAAAAATAGCGTCCAGACTAGGGAAGTAACTTGTCCAAGGGGTAAGTGGTAGGCAGCCTGGATTTTGAATCTTGGCCTTATGACTGGGTAGCCTTTGAGGGGAGACATTTGATGACTTAATCAAGGGTATTTTCCAATGGTGTGAGAGGGTCCCCCTATCCAGCTCAGATGGCAGTTTGTGAAAGGGTTCCTTCTGGGGCAGAAGTTTTTAACTGAGCCACAGTTGTTTCTCTGAAAGTGCCCTGAGGATGGGAACACTGGCAGCCCCTTGGCCCTCCTAAATGACAGCTCATGGAAGCAGTGTGGCTCCTGTCAGAGCCCCTGATCTGGGCTGCTGAGCTCTGGAGCCCCTAGAGCTGGAATCTTCCTCCCTGCATCTTCCTGGTGCCCTTTGCGACAGATGGAGAGGGGGTGTGTGAGAGGAAGGCAGTCTAAAACTGTTGTATGAATCCCACACGCATTCGCTTGCTGCTTCCAATGGCTCCGTGCGACAGATTATTTTCTTATTTGTAGTCCTGAACTGATGGAAGGTGCCTCCCCCCCCCCCCCCGCCTCTTTTTAATGCGTTCAGATTCTTGGTCTGTCAACACAGTTCTGATTATGTCACTCTCCTGTTCAAAACTGTTGAGTGGGTCCAAGTTTTCTTTAAAAAAAAACAAAAAACAAAACCTACAACAGGGCCTGGGCTCCCTCCCTGACAGGCCCTAAGAGCTGACCTGTTGAGATGCTGCTAGATAGCCAGACTTCCTCCCTGCAGCCAGAGATTTCCTGGCAGCTCAAGTGTATCAGCACCTGAGAGACCCTGAGATGGCCTCCACTTGTAGAAGCCCCAGCTGGACCCTTTTCACTCCAGGGTTCCCCAAACATACGAGTAAGAGGCATTGGGTTTGTTTAATGGCCGTTAACACAGGGCCTGACCCAGTTTGGTAAATGTGTGTCTGTGTTAGCTGCTTAGTCGTGTCCGACTCTTTGTGACCCCGTGGACAATAGCTCACCAGGCTCCTCTCTGTCCATGGGATTCTCCAGGCAAGAATACTGGAGTGGGTTGCCATTCCTTTCTCCAGGGGATCTCCCCAACCCAGGGATCGAACCCAGGACTCCAGCGTTGCAGGCATACTTTACCAAAGTTTGGTTAATGCCTTTGTACAGATCCACAACCTCAGCTGAACTCTCTCATCTCTGTGCCTTTGCTTATGCTGTTTGTGCCACCCGAGATGCCCTTTCCTATATGTCCCTATCATTACATGTCCGAACCTACTCAGCCTTCCCTTTGTGCTGCCTCTTGTTCCATGGATCTCTTCCTCCTCTGAACCCTCACCCCAGGATTTATCTGAGGCTACTTATTACTTTTCCCTTGTTTTTTTTAAATCACGTGTTAGTGCATGTTTAACTCTGGTTGACATAGTGGTTCTGCACTGTAGCCTTTCCACGCACAGACACAGCCTAGCCTACTTGGACAATTTATTGAGCCAAGTGGTTAGGTTTCCTCATCTGTAAAATGGAGATGACATCAACAACTGTATTTCAGGGACTGAGTTAACCCACATTTAATGCTTGAAGCCGTGCCTGGCATGCAGTAAGCGCTTAGTACCAACTTACCACACGTTACATTCAGTAGTCGTCGTTTGGTTCTGTTTGGGTTTCCTCATCTATGGGAGTGGGACTGATGTTGGTAAAGAACCCTGCATAAGTCCTTGCACAGAGAGGCGCTCACAAAACAAGAGCTGTTGCAAGTGAACATGAGCATCATGTTTTTCCCTGTGGCTTTTGTGCAGTCAGGGAAGACAAGTTGAGCAGAGACTGGCTGGTGTGACTGAATAGTTCCTGGGACTCAGCGCCCGCCGTGGGCATAGCCTGCCTCTAGGTGTCTCTGTCTCGATCCACAGGGCTGGAATTGTGGATTCCCAGACCTGGAAAGCTGGAGGAGGCCTGAGAGAGCTGCCATCAGTCAGCACCTCTTTGTGCGGCCAAGAAAACTGCAGCCTTGAGAGAGGTCAGGGCTGGCTGGGCTCACAAA